AACATTAACATGAATCCGATCGACTTTGTTCATTTATCAACTTGTCACTCCCAACACAGTCTACCCATCCTTGGGTAGGTTCAGCCTTGACCGATCTGGGTGGATTCTAACCAAATTTGGATAGTTTTGAAATAGCGTGTAAACAAAAGTAAGAAAATGAATATTTTTCAAGCAAAATAACTTGATAATTGAAAGTGATCGATTCCGCACTAGCCACTCAGATTAGGCAGTCCTTCGGTTTCTTCGTTGGGTCGTTTGCAGAGTCCAGCTCCAGGTTCGATTTCTCTTCTTCCAATGCTGATGATAATGATGGAAACTCGTCTCCATTCAATCGTGGATCACTCGACCGCTGAGTGCTGCTTGTGGTGATGTTTTGGTGTTACTAGCTGTTTTCGGAGTCTTCGTACTATTTTGTTTGGGATAGGCTGCTGCTCCGCAATGACGACATATTTTCGGCTTATTCCGGTATGTCATCAGCGTGGTTTTGCCACCGATGGCTACACTTGACGGAATGGGGCGACTAAGCTTCATACGAAGGACTCGTACACCATTGTAGATTCCCTGATAATTTAAAAAAATCGTAACTCAAAAACCAAGAAAAATACATCGTTTAAAGTTGTGAAGAAAAGCCTAAATTTTCAAACTTAAATATAAAAACGTCTACAAAACCATAAAAAAAAACAAATACAATCAAAGTTCTTCTATACAAAACATCAATTTTTAAAACTTTTAATTTTTTTTCTGAAAAGTATTTTTAATGACCTTTCATTTGATATGTTGATCATTCAAAGTGGCCCAAAAAAATCGATTTTTTGGACCACGCCAACAGGGAAATGGTCACCCTAATGAGAAAATAAAGAAATACGGGTCTAATGTTTTTCGATAAGGAACAAAACTACCAATTGTTACGAAATTCTTAGGAACACTATATCGTTTTGCTATGGAATGGCAATTTTTTTCCTTGATTTGTTTTTCCGTCGATCTTGTTTTCCGTGCTGAGCACCAATGCTACCGACGCCAGGGAGGCAGTTTCCACACCTGGACCCTACCTTTCGACCCATCAACTCATGAACCGGGGACCAACGGCTTTACTTACCCCACTCCCCTCCCCGTGATCAGAGATGTTATGCCTTAGAGCATCCCGGCGGCGCCGACTGGGATTGAACCCAGGCCTGCTGGGTGATAGGCAATCACGCTTATCACTACACCACCGGCGCTGCTAGACAGATAGATAGATATGTCAGAAAATGTCATTTGATAGTGGATAGCGTTGTTATTTCAAAACTGATGTGCGATTATAGGCACTACATCGATATATCGATTAATAGCCATTTCCTATATTCCAGTAAAAGAGTGATGATCTACACAAATTTTATAAAATCCACCATGAAATATTTGAAAATGACCAAACTCACATCCAAGGTTCAGTATCTCGGAAGATGTGAGAAACCACCAGAAATCCCATCCCTTTCTCCTTTAATTCGACTTTTCCTTCTGTCCCATGATTTTTAATTAAGCACCGTCTCGCCACCAATAATCGTGCAGCATCTCTCTCTCTTTCTTTTTCTCGTTCTACCTCTGCGTAATGAAACTAACGCCTGAACTGCCAGGCATTGTTCCGAAGAATTATCGCTTAGTGGTTGGAATCAAATTAATTCCTGGAAACGTGGCAAGCACGACAGATGCTCAATCAAGCCCACCAGCAGCCAGCGATAATATTTCGTGTCGAAGCTTAAGCAGGTACAACTCCGAGAGCCGCCGCCATTCACTACTGAGCTTAGGGTTGATCCATTTTTCCCAGCATCGCGCTTGTTCTTGGTATTCAATTTGCTGATCCCGACATCTCTTTCTCTTGGAGAAGTTGCGAGGAGAAAGCACCAATTACTGCTGTGAGCAAACTTTTCTTTTCTTATTTGTGGGGCGAGCTCAGTCAGCCGTGCAAGCAAATCCATAAATCAATAAAATATAGACTTCAAGCTTTTGCCGAAATATTCGAAGAATTTTTCACTCCCTTCGGTCGTACGATGGTCATGACGATAGATCAGGGTGCTCTAGAAAGGAAAATTTGCAGCAAATGAAGCTCGAAGGAAGACGATAAAACTACACTGTGCACAGAGGATTTGGGAAATTTTCGGTGGGAATGGGATGGAATCGTTTGGGATGAAAATGAGCACTTTTTACAGCACGACCCAATTCAGTAACTGGAACTTTTCGGGCAGATGGCTTCGTTGAATGCTTGGCAAACGGGTTGCCTTTTCTTTCAGCTAGATTGCTGCATGAACCGGAATAAAATTCGTTGGAAGGTGGATTGATTGGATTGGTGGAAATTGAATGTACTGTAGAAGGAAAAATATTGGATGAGTCATTTCACCGAATAACAATTACAATGGCCGACGATGGTTAACAATTTTACAGATAGTCTCTCGGCTTCCTTTCTGGCCGAATCGACCATTTAACCGAAAATGTTTCCTTCATTTGAAAAAATAAATCGAAATCTAATCTCCATCTTCCATTTCGGTATCAATTATTCATGAGCCATAATTGTATTCCCATTTTCCATTTCAAACTGTTGAATTGGATGTGGCCCTCACGCACAGCAGTAGACCATCCTCAATAGAATTCCCGGTAATTAAAGCTCAAGTGGTTTTCTACTTTTAAATCATAAGGCAGGCCCTACCCAAACAATTTCCAACATCGTCATACCCATGTTATGTTCCAACATATGAAACAATTTTCCTCGGCACCTCGCTTCTATCGCCCACCCACCAAGCTTGCTTATTATATTGTAACGAATTTTAAGGAGAGTGCCGGTGAAACAAATAAAAAAAAATTAAAGGTATTGTCACCATAACCGAAAATAGCTTTCCAACTACGTCACATTTACACCCACCTCGTCGACCACTCCAAACCACTCCAGCAGAGGTATATGCTTCATTTGAATCGGGCTACTGTAAGATAGTGTCTGTGCGGAGGTTTCCCCACGACCGTCCCGTCTAGAGGCCTTTTGAAAGCGAATTTTACCCCACTTTCACAATACCTACCTACATATATACGTATGTGCTTTTCCCTGGAAGTTGCTGGTGAGAGTGAGAGAAAACGAAAGTGAAAGTATACGAGAAATTCACTCTCGTTTGCGCTCCTGGAAAATTCGTTGTACCACGTGAGACAACGATGGCTGACGGCAGCAGCAGTCTGTGGCCATACAACTACCATCGCACACACCCCACAGGCATCCGTCGCGTCGCGTCGGTCGGACCGCTGTCAAGGATGTAGGAAAGCGAAAGCAAACATGACGCAGGCTCAGAAGCTAACCGCACCTACACAGCTTTGGAAGCTCTCGGCATGGCTTGTGGATCCCTGTGGGTGGGTGGTGTACACTAATACAAATGCAATCAAGGCTTTTATTTTGATTTTTTTGCTTGACGATGACGACGACCAAAAGCAGTTTCCAACTCTGCGTATGGCGATGATGAGGGTGCCTATTTAATGAAGTAATTTATGATATGCAATTACCACTTACCAGGATTATGAGTACGTATAATTTTGCATTTCGTTCAAGTGCGTTTGGTCGAATGCTTGAGTGTCGCCGGGCTTTGGGTTGGATGCGGGGGTTCCTAGTACTTTACCGACCGGTATGAACTGGTATGGTGGCTGCATTCTACAGAGTTTCGGTTTGGACAGTTTTTTAATCGAGCAGCAAATAAGATCACTCAAGGGCAGTGGATGATAATATTTGAAAATACTGAACCTCTATAACCGATTTTACTCAGGAAAATAATAGAATATTTCAACTCTTTATCGACTGGTCGGAAATTGAAGAAATGGTCATTGTAATTAACGGCGATGAAACATGGACATCTCCTTGAATTTATTTAGTCGGAGCTTGGAAGTTCTGTTTGTAGGACAACAGTTCGAAGGACATAAGGTTGAATGGCCAGAAGGTCGAATGGACAAAAGTTCGAATTGAACTTAGAGGGACAAATGCTCGAAGAGTCAACAAGTCGAATTGATCATAGATGAACGAAAGGTCGAAGTGGACAAAATGTTGAAATGAACAAAAGATCAAATGGTCAAAAGATCGGATTGGACAAAATGGTGAAATGGAAGAAAGATCGAATGGACTAAAGGTCAAATGGATAAATGGTCGAAATGCGCAAAAGCTCGAAATGGATAAACTGGTCAAATTTTTGGAGAATAAGATGAGTGGCCAACTCTCTCAAATATTTTTCCTTCTTCAAATCATGATCAGAAAACTAAGATAACAAATTGTTACTGTACGTGTCACTGCAATTTAAGATACAAAGAATTCCCATTCTCTAGAATATATTCCTTCTTTAAATCACGAGCAGTTGTTTGGGAGTATTTGTGCATTTTTTTAAAGTTCTTTTAAACTCTGAGCGAAAATTTCCTAAAACAATATTTTGTAATTTTCATGCTGGTTTTTTGAACTTATGTTCACTTTGACTTTTTGGCCATTTAGAACTTTTGTCTATTCGACCTTTTGTCTGTTCGATCTTTTGTCTATTCGACAATTTGTCCATATATGTCAAATTCGACCTTTTATGCATTCGTCCTTTTATTCTCTAAGTTAAATTAAAGCTTTTGACCCTTCGACATTTAGTCCTTCTAAGTTCAACTCGACCTTTTGTCCATTTGACCTTTTGTATATTCGACTTTTTGACCTTCTAAGTTAAATTCGTTCTTTTGTTCATTCGACCTTTGGTCCCTTTGACCTTTTGTCCATTCAACCTTTTGCCTATTCGACTTTTTGTCCCTTCGACCTTTTGTTCCTTTGACCTTTTGTTCCTCTAAGGTTGAAGGGACAAAAGGTCAAAATGAGAAAAGGTCGAATAACCCCTGGACTTGACAAAAAGTATGATAAACGCAACTTTGATGGCCTCACGACTGCCCTTTGAAGTGCACTAAACTAGCCTACAATGCTTGTTAATTTACCATTGAACTCCTTTGGCCTATTTCATGAAGGCTTCTGGGCATGTCCTACTCCTCAACAATTTTAGAGAGCTTAATGATGTTACAGAGAAAGTACTGAGTTGGCATGTGGAATCTCCTGGACTTGCCTTGAACCCTTCTAAAATGTTTTTGATGGCCTCATGAAAGCCCTTTGATATGTTTGGACTGTTCCATCATGGCTTCTGGAATGACCCTGCAAGCTCGTTGATCTTGCTTTTGATGGACTTATGGCAAAATTACTAACTTTTGAAATCTTTTGGACTGCCATTTGAAGTCCTAGCCCTAGAGGACTCCTCTTTTTTGGGTTCTGGCCTTTGTTCTTTGGTTTGGCCTTTGAAATGCTCTTGATTTCACCATGAGGATCAGTGAATTTTTCGTTGATGACCTCTGAGCGATGTTGAAAATTGAATATCGGATTTCATGATGCCCAAAGTCATGGTCATTAGGCCCAAGACCATTTGGCCAAACGGTCATTATGCTGAATCTCGGAAAATTATTAATTAACACTTTCGAAGAACATTTGCTAGTTCTTTAAAGAGAATAACCAACAAATAATAGATTTGATCAATTTTAAGGCATGTCTTCATTTTGAAGACTTTTGGAATTATGTGAAGACATTTTTCTCCTGCAGACATTTTGAAGACATCTTATAGTTTGTGAAGATTTTAGAAGGCATGTTGACGTTGAATAAGTCTTTCGGAGGCTTTTTGAATTTTAAGCAGACATTTTGTGCTGAACAAATGAAGAATTTGACTACATACTTCACGCTCATTTTTTTCAGCTAGAGGTCTTTAAATACTTTCTGACCGACCTGTTATCTTTTTAGAATATCTGAGAGTTGCCATTTTATTTTTTGAACAGTTGAAGATCATCAGATCCTTAACTTAATCAACCTCAAGCCTTGAAAACTTAACCAGAGGAATTAATTTAATTGTTAGATTAGCTGCAGATCTTTTGAACATTTTACAAAATAATATCTGAGCAACCAGCAATTTTGGAAGCATATCTGAAAGACTTAATTTAAATGTATTGTGCAGTTTAAGATCTTCATAATAATACTTGATCAAACAGAAGCCTTTAAGGAAGACTAAGATGAGCAGGAGATCTTTTGAATTCTTCCTAATCAACCATTATTTATGAATTATTTTGAACTTAACATGAAGTCTTAAAATAAATCAAGAGGACTTTGTTACGAAGTTCTAAAAAATGCATCGATGTTTCCTGAATTTCTACGAAGGTTCCTGTACTTCTACAATGTTTCTTGAACATATACTCAGCTGCATGAACTCATACGAAGCGCCCTCGACTTCTTTCCAATCCCTTGAGCTTATCAGAAGTATCCTTGGCCTCTATTATGTTCGCTGAAATTGTGAGAAGTTTTGTTAACTTCTATGAACTTCCTTGAACTTATACTCCACAGCTCATACAAAGTTTCCTAAATTTCTAGGAAGTTCAATGAATTTCTTTGAAGTTGGCTGAACTTGTTCATTTTTTCTATAACTTATAGAATGATCCCTGAACATCAACAAAATTCCCTTAGCTTCTGGAAAATGTCCTCAACTTTATACAAGCTCCATATTTTTCTAAGCTCTCTTAATTATAACATCAGAACATCTATCAACTTCTCCAAACATACGGGAAGATCCTCAACCGTTTCTACGAATATTTCTGAACATCTGGGTAGTTCCTTGAAATAAAACGGAGTTTCCAATGCATCCAGGAAGTTCGGAAAGCTTTTCTGAAGTAAGATCATTGAAAAACTGATACGAAGATCCCTGAAGTTCTAAGAAGTTTGCTGAACTATTCCAAAATGTCCTGGGCCATATTTTTCTAAGCTCTCCTAATTCTAACAAGATCTCAGAACATCTATCAACTTCTCCAAACATATGGGAAGACCCTCAACCAATTCCACAAATGTTTCTGAACATCTGGGTAGTTCCCTTAATTAAAACGAAGTTCCAAAAACTTTCAGGAAGTTCAGAAAGTTTTCTGAACTAAGATCTTTGAAAAGGTGATACGAAGATTCCTGAAGTTCTAAGAAGTTTGCTGAACTTTTGCTAAATTTTCTGAGCTTCTTTGAAGTATACTGTTTTACTAACTTTTACGAAGCTAGATGAACTTTTACGAAGTACCCCGTTGATCCTCGAACTGCTACGCATTTCACTAAACTATTATAAAGTTCGCTGCACTTCTACGAAGTTCACTGTACTACTGTACTACTAAAAATTTCCGAGCATTTGTGAGGTTTCGTGAATTTCTATGAAGTTTCGTAGACTAGTACAAAAATTCCACTTTTTCACATTATAGTTTTCTTTATTTTTTCGAGACGAGTCGAAAGGTTTTTTTTTTTATAAAGTTCCCTGAATTTCTATGAATTTTTCTGAAGCTCTACGAAGTTTCCAGAATATCTTCCTCTGAATTGATGTCCCCTAAGGTTTTACGATGTACGCTGAAGTAACATAACAATCAATGGTATTCAAAGAAATTCCCATTTTTTTACAAAATTGCTCAACAGTTGGCAGTTTTTCTACAAAGGTTTATGAAGTTCTTCAAAACTTTAACAACACTGGCTGAACTCATATAAAGTTCTCGGCACTTCTACGCAGTTTGCTAAACTCACATAAAGTTTTCAGCACTTCTACGCAGTTTGCAAAGATCGCTGAGCATCCGCAAAGTTCGTTGAACTTCTACAAATTTAGCTGGACAACTATAAAGTTCATTGAACGTGCTATGAAGTTCACTGAACTTCTTTAAATATCACTGAACTTCTTTAAAGTTCACTGAATTATTTAAGGTTCACTAAACTTCTTTAAAGTTCACTGAACTTCTTCAAAGTTCATTGAACTTCTTTAAAGTTCACTAAACTTCTTTAAAGTTCACTGCACTTCTTTAAAGTTCACTGAATTTCTTTAAAGTTTACTGAATTTCTTTAAAGTTCACTAAACTTATTTAAAGTTCACTTACCTTATTTTAAGTTCACTGAACTTTTTTTAAGTTTACTGAACTTTTTAAAAGTTCACTGAACTTATTTAAAGTTCACTGAACTTCTTTTAAGTTCACTGAACTTATTTACAGTTCACTGAACTTCTTTTAAGTTCTCTGAACTTATTTTAAATTCTCTGAACTTATTTGAAGTTCGCTGAACTTCTTTTAAGTTCACTGCACTTCTTTAAAGTTCATTGAACTTCTTTAAAGTTCACTGAACTTCTTTAAAGTTCCTTTGGTTTGTTTTTTCCGTCGATCTTGTTTTCCGTGCTGAGCACCAATGCTACCAACGTGCCAGGAAGGCAGCTCCCACACCTGGACCCTACCTATCGACCCATCAACTCATGAACCGGGGACCAACGGCTTTACTTCCCATCCGAAGGAAGGCGTGATCAGAGATGTTATGCCTCAGAACATCCCGGCGGCGCCGACTGGTATCGAACCCAGGCCTGCTTGGGTGAGAGGTAATCACGCTTACCATTCATTAAAGTTCACTGAACTTCTTTAAAGTTCACTGACCTTATTTTAAGTTCAATGAACTTCGTTAAAGTTCATTGACCTTCTTTAAAGTTCAATGAACTTCTTTAAATTTGACTAAACTTCTTTAAAGTTCATGAACTTATTTAAAGTTCACTGACCTTCTTTTAAGTTCACTGAACTTCTGTAAAATTTACTGGACTTCTAAAGTTCATTGAACTGTAAAAAAGTTCTCTTAAATTCTTCAAATTTGAATAAACTATTACAAAGTTCAATAAACTATTACAAAGTTCAATGAACTTCTACAAAGTTTGCTGATCCTAAACAAAGGTTGCTGAACTACTACAAATATAAAGTTTTGTAAAGTTAACTGCACTTTTTTAAAGTTCACTGCACTTTTTTTTAAAGATCACTGCACTTCTTTAAAGGTCACTGAACTTCTTTAAAGGTCACTGAATTTCTTTTAAGTTCACTATACTTATTTAAAGTTCACTGAACTTCTTTTAAGTTTACTGCACTTCTTTAAAGTTCACTGAACTTCTTTAAAGTTCACTAAACTTTTTTAATGTTCACTGAATTTCTTTTAAGTTCACAAAACTTATTTAAAGTTCTCTGAATTTATTTTAAGTTCACTGCACTTCTCTAAAGTTCACTGAACTTCTTTAAAGTTAACTGAACTTCGTTAAAGCTTACCGAGCTCCTTTAAAGTTTATTTGAAGTTCACTGAACTTCTTTAAGGTTCACTGAACTTTTTTAAAGTTCACTGAGTTTCTTTTAAGTTCACTAAACTTATTTAAAGTTCACTGAACTTCTTTTAAGTTCACTGCACTTCTTTAAAGTTCACTGAACTTCTTTAAAGTTCACTGAACTTCTTTAAGGTGCACTGACCTTATTTTACGTTCACTGAACTTCTTTAAAGTTCATTGACCTTCTTTAAAGTTCAATGAACTTCTTTAAATTTGACTGAACTTCTTCAAAGTTCATGAACTTATTTAAAGCTCACTGACCTTCTTTTAAGTTCACTGAACTTCTGTAAAATTTACTGAACTTCTTTAAAGTTCATTGAACTGTAAAAAAAGTTCTCTTAAATTCTACAAAGTTCAATAAACTATTACAAATTTCAATGAACTTTTACAAAGTTTGCTGAACTTATACAAAGGTTGCTGAACTTCTAAAAATTTAGCAACTTCTATAAAGTTCACTGAACTTCTATAAAGTTCAAGTTCTTCAGAATTTGCTGCACTTCAAGAAACTTAAACACAATTCTCTGAACTTCTAAGAAGTTACTTGCAGATTCGTGATGATCTTCGAAGTTCTAAAACGTTCCGTGAACTTTTGCGACGTTCTCCGCACTACTACGATGTCCCCTGAAATAAAAACGACTTATTGACTTCTAAGATGTTGGAATTTCGATCAAACTAGTAAGTTCATACAATCAGGGAAATGCGCTTACTCTTGTGTATAGTTCATTTTGATTCATGCAATGTAAAGAAATAAATTATATTTAGAAGATATAAATCTTCAAGATCCACCCTATTACCTTGACAAAATCCCTGGAAAACCTGTGGTAGCAACAACAACAACAGCAATTTTCACCGTACCAAGTATTACGCAAAAACTGCTTCGCTCAGCTGATCCCTCCGTGCCGTCGCCGCTCCAAAACATCCTTCCTTCATATTTGTATTTGTAAGCCCCAAATTCGAAACGTCGCCCCAGACCAGAAAGCCTTCATCAAACGCCCCCGTACGCACAAACACACATACAACCACGCAATAACAACAACAGTACAAATGCAAAGCAGCGCTTCGATGCCAACATTTTATTCGGGCGACATTGCTTCTGTAAACAATGACGTCAACCACCGATTTTTCGTAAATAAAAGCTTGCTCCTGTAAACTAACCATATCAACTTGATGGTGCAGTTAGTTTGTATGAGTGATCTTTAATTTGCGGGAAATCGACGACCAAAAGGAATGATTTACAAAAGCAGTTTCGCCCTTTTGAAATGTCGATGAAGACTTCTCTTCCAGGCTTTCCAGTACACACTCACGGTGCGTACCTATTTCAGTCGGATCGCCATACTAGTTCAGCCAGTCAGTTCTCGAAAAAAAATCCACCCAAAACAACGCGCAGAGTAGTAGACTTCTCTATCTAGAAACTATCGTCCGTATAAGCCTATCGAAGATCTCTTCTCCCGGGTGTTCAGTCCCTGTTCCAGCCAGCAGTTACGCCGTGCTTAGATCGGCTGTTTGGGTTGGGTTTGTAGAACATACGGGCAGGAGGTTGTTCCACAGCGAGTGACACATTAGGTCAGTCATATGCAACTCACATCGTCGGAAGCTCGTTGTTTTTCCCGTGAAAAGTGAAAGCGGTGTCCGGATTGTGTCAGCTTCATACGTTACGGGAGCTTTCGTTTGACTTGTTTTTGACGGAAAGAAGGAAATGAAAGTGAAACTATTCGCTTGAATTGTGACAGTAGATTTTGTGAAATTTACGCAAAAGTGCTGGGAGGGGAAGTGTCGGGTGTCTGGACGGGGAAGAAATCTACGTTACGTAAGTCTCGTCGGTTCTTCTTCATTATGTCGCCGGTGTAGATTTGCTGGACGTTGTTTTCCGATAAAAGCTGGTTGCCCAAGTTTCTGGAGGAGTGAGCAGACGGAAAGACGAACGGGTAGCCGTGTCATTCAGAGGGATTGTGTGTATGTGTGTGCTCTGTAGTGAGCGAGTGGAAATATTGATCCTGGCTGGCTCTCGGAGAGTGCGTTTCGTGCTTTTCTCGCGTGAGTGTTGTTTTTCATGTATATTGCTACATGCGCGATGCTTTTGGGAAATAGGAAACTGACGTTCGGTTTGTTTCTTTTTATTTTGCCCGAAAGAACCAAGAGCACCAAGTGACACGAAATTGTAATTAAATTATGTACTTTTTTTTTCGGTCATTGGTGGTGATGAAGTAACAGAGAAACAGAGACGCAAAAGATGCATTTTTCTTCGTCTGAGATGTAAAGATAATCCGGCTTATGGTTTTGGATTGGATCCAGACCGTCTGCCCCGGGAGTGTAAAAGATCTTGGGTGTAGTAACACCGCACCGACAAAGGTAGG